GCGGTGGGTGAGTGAAAATGTAACATTTTAAGAAGTGGATATTGAAAAAAATTCACAGAAATAATCCCCTGACAAATATGAATTCTGAGGGAATATGCCCTCCTCAATTTCTATGGTTGTTACAGTAATACTACTAATATTAATAGATTTAAAAAATGTGCCATAGTCACAGAATGTGTGCCCCAAATCAGGTCCTGGATTGCTCCCAATAATGCACAATTACATTTTGTATGTTATCACAATCAAACACAAACTCATCAACTCATTAGTAGAGACTCCAAGACCTGAAATGGGTCTGTCATACAAGGGAGACATCCAAAATGTGTACTGCTGTGGGTACCAAGGCTGTAATAATTATATTACATTATATTGTAATAATTATATTGTAACTAATATGAGAAAAGCCAAACACACAGATAAATTTAGAGATCATGACACATACCTTTCACTGATGAAAAACAGAATCAAGAAAGTTTTTTTCTTTGAAGAACAAGATTTTAAAAAACAATGCTCTACTCCCTGACAAAGTCTACACAGTCTAACATATTTTCCCTGCTACACTTTAACCCACTTTTGCCACTGATTTATCTCATTTATGGCTAAAATATGTTTAGTCCAACAAGATTGCATGTAAACTGTTACCATTAATGCCACATACTATGTGTGTTACCATTGAAAAATGAAAGCAGAAATTATAGTGACACCATGGTACCATTTTTATCGCCCACCGCATTATTTTTAGCATCATCTTGATAGAAAGTAGCATTACAGATTTAGCTTGTACATTCACCGATCTATGAAACTTTCCTCGTCTTTACTTTTACAAAAGTACTAGAAGCAAGACTTTCAAGGGAGTATTATGAGGAATTTCAAACACAACTTATGTTTACTCATCTTCTCTGCCAGCTTATCTTCTAGCCACCTCCTGGGGCTTTTGTTGCAGACATGTTTTTACTGTCCTCACCACTTAAAGGGATAGTTCACCAAAAAATGAAAATTACCCCATGATTTACTCACCCTCAAGCCATCCTAGGTGTATATGACATTCTTCTTTCAGACAAATACAATCAGAGTTATATTAAAGGGGTCATATGATGCGATATCAAGTTTTCCTTTCTCTTTGGAGTGTTACAAGCCATTTGTGAATAGATAAGATCCCTAAAGTTGCAAAGACTAAAGTCTCAAACCCAAAGAGATATTCTTTATAAAAGTTAAGACTCGTCCATGCCCTCCTAAAACACCTCATGTAAACACCCCCCCACATGTCTACGTCACTGTGTGGGAAGATTTGCATAACACCGCCCAAATGTTCACGAAAAGAAAGAAGGCTTAACTTTATTGTTGCTGCCACCGCCGCCGCCATGTTGTGAAGACACTGTGTGTTTCGTTGCGAAAGTGAAACTACTTTGTTTGGTCTTCCAAAAGAGGACATAACTAGAAATCAGTGGTTAAGTTGTATTTACAACACTGTTCCAGAACAGTTCAACCCAAATATTCAGATGTGTGCAGCGCATTTTATGAAGGACTGTTTCCTGATCCTGGGAGAGTAGACTACAATGCCGGCTGTTCTGACTCACGGACTGTAAGTACGCTTTCATATTTAAAGAATTTGCCACTGATGATTCAAACGCGAGTTTTGAGCAGTGTAGAGTAGCGCTTGTTGTTTGTCATTTCTCACATCACAAATGCAGACATGGTTTTATGTTTATGCGGCGCGATGGAATGCAACACGTAAAAAGACAGAATAAGTCATTATAATCAGTAATTATGTCCCCACTGGACGCAACAAATGCCTGGTTTATAATGGGTTTGAATGTTTTTGTCTCGTCGCTCAGGCCGGGACACGGCATCACACTATGGTAAGGGGCGTAACATTTCCGTCACGCACTTGAGGTATTCGGCCAATCACAACGCACTGGATAGCTGGCCAATCAGAGCACACCTCGCTTTTCAGACCGATGAGCTTTGTAAAAGTCAACACTTTTCAGAAAGGCGGGGCATAGAGGAGAAACAATAATGTACAGTGTGTGGAAAATAATGTGTTTTTTTAACCTTAAACACAAACACATTTCATTACACCAAATACACAAAATAATGTTCTTTTTAGCAACATCATATGACCCCTTTAAATAATGTCCAGGCTAATCCATGCTTTATAAAGGGAGTGGATGGTAGCCCAAAATTTGAAGTCGAAAAAATTGCACCCATCCATTATAAAAGAAGTCCACGCGGCTCCGGGGGGTAAATAAAGGCATTCTGCAATGCGTTTGTGTAAGAAAAAATATCCATATTTACAACTTTATAAACCTTAATCTCTAGCTTCCGGTAACTGTCATACGCACGTTCACGAGAGAGTGGCGTCCAGTGGATGATGTAGGACGTAGGCGTAGCATAAGCTCCAGTGAGAATATGCTAGTCTCATGAGAAACAAGTTTTGTTTACAGCAAAGGAAAACCAGTGTCCTCTTGGCTTATATCGAAATCCTCCGACATTTTTCTTTACAAATCCTAATTTTGTACTTCTAATTCGTGACCGGTGTTTTGTTTTGCTCTCTCCTCTACGCTTCCACGTTCGTCACGTCCACGTTTGTCACTTCCGCGTTCGTCACCACATTTGCCTACTTCCTACGTCATCCGCTGGACGCCACTCTCTCGTGAATGCGCGTACGACAGTTAGCGGAAGCTAGAGATAAAAGGTTTATAAAGTTGTAAATATGGATATTTTTCTTACACAAACGCATTGCGTCGCTTCAGAAGGCCTTTATTAACCCCCCGGAGCAGTGTGGACTTCTTTTATAATGGATGGGTGCAATTTTTTCAACTTCAAATTTTGGGCTACCATCCACTCCCATTATAAAGCATGGATTAGCCTGGACATTATTTAATATAACTCCGATTGGATTCGCCTGAAAGAAGAAAGTCATATACACCTAGGATGGCTTGAGGGCGAGTAAATAACAAGCTAATTTTCATTTTTGGGTGAACTAACCATATATAAAGACCACAACCACAATAATGCCAAGCACCACTGCAGCTACAACTGCTGCTATTATCACTTTGTACTTAATATTCTCCCAACGCTTCTTCTGTTTCACCTTAGTCGAGGTCTTTGAGAATTTTTCGCTCTGAAAAGAAATAAGTACAATCATTAAAATAATTATTTTAAGAGAGAGAGAGATTCTTGATGGCACAAGTGGAGTTTTTTCAGAATTAGAACTGACTTCATTTTTGACTGTTACAAAGACTCCTCATCTGAAAAATAAGAGTGGAAAAACATGCAAGGCTTTGTACTTTTGTACAGGTGTTTTGTTTTCTTAACTGTAATTATAATATTTGTTTGAACCAGTAACTGACACCAACCACACAGTGTAAATCATAAATCACACTGTGCTTGTTCATTTAGGCCACAGAAGAACTGGCTCTCCGACTGAGCCTGGCTTCCTGGGGGTTTTTTTTCCCTCCACTAGTGTCACCTGTTAAGTTTTGGTTACTTGCAACTGTTGCCTTTAGCTTGCTCAGTTAGAGTAAACACATTTGATCTGAATTTAACTGGATGACACAAACTTTGCAACATCAACATTGAACTGAATTGAGCTGAATAATGATATTGCATTATGAATTGAACTAATTTCATAATTTTATATTTAGCTTGTGATACTGAGAGTTATTCAACTGAATTAAACTAAACTGAGGTGAATAGTAACACGATTATCCTCTGTAGAGCTCCTTTACAGCTGAAATTGAATGTGTTGCTTCAAAACTGATCAATTTTACAAGTTACACTATTTCCCCTTTTATTATTGTGTTTTTATTCATTTTTATGAAGCTGCTTTGAAACAATATGTATTGAGTAAAGCTCTGTATAAACAAATGTGACTTGACCAACCAAGACTTCCAATGGGATTTTTAGTATGTTTACATAATAAAAAAAACACGAAACTAAAGTGAACTTGTTGCCTGACTGCAGGGCATGTACTGCACAAACAGCCTGCTACACTATTACACAAGTGTTGTTCATTTCATAACAAAAGGAAATGGCGTTCTAAAATTAACAAGGTAAACTAAACTCAGGATGCAAATTGTACACTCTTTTTTCCGTACACCCCACCTAGACACTATTAATAGACTCCAATTTGACATGCCATTGCTTTCCCTAAAAACACTTGAAACTCCAGAAACCTAGTTTTTGGTCATAAGATTCCTCAACAAACCATAAAACAAGATCATAGAACCATAGAGTGCATAATTAATTGGGCATGCTTTTTGTCAAGCAGTTTTAAAGGCATAAATTTAATTATATTTATTAAATGATAATATAAACTAACATGTTCAAGTAGTTTATCAGCTCGGTCCTCAAGCTCCCAGAGTTTTCCCGCACGCTCGTCAGCCTTGTTCACGTTATCCAGCATGATAACTTTGATTTCCTCCACATCCTCCTGGGCCTGACGGAGGCGGCTTTGCCCATTCTCCTGGAGACAGATGAAATAGATTTATTGGGAAACACAGAATGACTGGCAAACATCCTTTACAATACATACATTATCATCAATAAATTTCTGCAACAACATAATTTTCCCTATGAGAGACTAAATTGTCCTATTAGATGTTTAACAGAAGAGAAAAGCAATCAATGACTGATTAAACACAAAAAGTGGTAATGAAGACTTCCTGGACACCTCCCATGCATAATAGTCTTGGAGTTCTGTTGACAACAAGCACTGGGAATGGAATTCTGGAACAGAGCCTCTGCTCTCTCACAGTTTATGATGTAACAGCGCAAGGGAGAGACAGAGAAACTGTGCATTTCTACAAGCTATTGCATCAAAACCCACAATGAGGCCTTTGTGAAAACAACATGGCTGAGATCCACGAAATCCATGAGATTCATTTAGAGACAGTGACCTCTATGACATTAGCAGTCTACAGCGTCTGACACATTGTGTATATCAGCTGAGTCAGAATGTTAATTCCTCTCTTTGTGCTCAGAAGGATGCAAGTGACTTGAGGTCAAGGTTTAGTTGATGAGTGGCTCATCGTAGATGGGAAACTGTCACACAAAGATCAATGAAATTATTCATTTTACAGGAAATACCACTTATTACTCATGCCATCTCACATAAGAACCGTACACAATAGAACAGTGGTTCTCAAAAATGGGTCATAAGTTTTAACAGGAACAGCAGGGATAAAAAAAACAATGCTAAATGCAAATTGTAAGAAATGCAAACATTATAACATTGTGTCTAGACTATCAAAATAATAAGTTTATGTTTTACAAGGAGAAACCCATATATTGTTTTGTTGACACTGAAGGCTTTGCATGAATTTAAACTCTAGAGTAGCGCAATGAGCATAAATTTTTTTTTTTTTAAATATTAACAGCATGAATTTTCAAGAGACATTTATCATCTAATAATAGACCAATTAATACTTGTCAATGTTTGAATTTAAGATTTTATGAATTGAGTGTTGAATTGAACTGTTTACATTTGTACTAGAAAAAATACATATAGAATTTAAAAAAATATCTGTGTATTAATAAATAAATAACCACATATGTATGCTAAAGCAAAGCCAGTGATATAGCTAGTCTTATGAATAGAAAAAAAACAACTTCACAAAACAATCTAAACCATAAAATGGGCCACACACTGTATACATAAATATATCATGTATAAATAAATATGTAAATATCTGGATGCTAAAGCAAAATGAGTGATATAGTCTTATCGATTTAAGTAAACAAGTTTTAGGAGACAAGATTTTAGTCAAACGTGGACATTGCATAAATAAATAAATACAATTGTAATATATTGAGATATAGTATAGAAATATTCATCTTTAAAATAGTAGAAGCACAAAGGATCAAACAAAAACTTATTACAGAAGAGCATGTTGATAATGAGCTTTTCATCACACTCTTTGCATATGAACAGAACTGCAGGATACACCTCTCTTTTTACATCCTTTCTTTGCTTCCATCCTTCCTCTCTCACTTCGACTGCTATAATGAATATGGAATTTCCTTGAGACTAGACAAAATCCCCTCTCATATGTGTTTCAACTAAACACTAAGTGTCACGTTGTCATTTCAAGCCACCTGAGATGAACCAACAATAAGGGTTAAAGAGGGGGGGGGGGGGAACTAGTCATGTTAAAAAAAATTCTGACAACTTAAAAACTAAATGTTGTCTGACTTGAGAAATCAATGCTAATCAACCAGGCCCTATGTACTGTATCATATCCCTCAAAATGCGTTTGAGTGAAAACTGCTATTCTATAGACTTGTCAAAACAGTAATCGTCTATTCATCAAAATCAAAGTCAGTGTATAATTTCACTATCATAATGCAAAGTGACAGTTGGTATATATAAATACATGATGAAAGAAACTAAACCTGCTTAGACCACAGCATTTAAAGCAACTGTTTGAGTCGACAGCATTTACCTAACAAAGTTGCTTTCAAGTTTGATCTAAACAGCTTGCTTTTAAAAGTTCTTCACCCGTTACATGGCCATATTTGACCTTTTAATAACTAATGGCATTCAGCGCAAAACGAAACAAAAATAAGGCAAAGCTTCAAAGACAAAACAACTTACCATTGTTTAATCCGTTTTGTTAATACACCATAAACTGTCGCCGCATATACCGCATCTGAAAGAGACACCACCAGCAGCTAATAAGAGAAAATAACACAAGCTTGATATCTTAAAACTTCACGCACGTCTTTACACAACTCTTCCAAAGCTTTCATCTTCTACTCTACTGCTGTGAGGAGGCGCCTCCCATACGCTGGGCGTGTAAGGAACTCGCAGTGCGCAGCTGCGTGAAAGCATCTGTTACTTATTGCTATCGTTTTTGGCCATGTACCAGAATGTGTACTTTAAAGTGAGCGCACGGCAGTATTGGTAAAATATTCACAAAAAGCTAATCAAGCTGGCACGAAAGGGCTGTGTCCTAAAACATAATGTTAATCATTGTTTTGTGAATCGATTCTTTGTAAAGAATCATTTGAACCGATTCGCAAATTATGCTAATAGAAGACTTACTGCCGAAATCTGAAGGGAAAACTTTGTTGCAGATGGTGTAGGAAAAAACAAGATAAAATCACAGCTGGGGAAAATGCTGGGATAATGGATTGGTTAGTGTTCAGGTCTGGCTGTACTTGCTCTTCTTTAACCATTTTGTTTTAATGTAGCGCTACAGCTGCAGTCAAAAGTTGACATATACACAAAATCTGCAAAATGTTCATTATTAGGGATCATACAAAATGGATGTTATTTTTTTATTTAATACTGACCTGAATAAGATATTTCACATAAAGGATATTTGCAAATAGTCCACAAGAGAAAATGGAAAATGCAGATTTTTGGCTCTTAAAGGGGTCATATGATGCGATTTCAATTTTTCCTTTCTCTTTGGAGTGTTACAAGCTCTTGGTGCATAAAGAAGATCTGTAAAGTTGCAAAGACTAAAGTCTCAAATCCAAAGAGATATTCTTTGTAAAAGTTCAGAGTCAGCCACACCTACCTAAAACGGCTCGTTCTAACACGCCCCCACATATCTACCTCACCATGTGGGAAGATTTGCATAAAGCGGCCCAAATGTTCATGCAAAGAAAGAAGGCGTAACTTTTATTCTCGCTGTAGTATTGTTGACGCTGCAGCCATGTCGTGAAGACACTGTGTGCTTCGTTGTGAAAGCGAAACTACTTTGTTTGGTCTTCCAAAAGAGGACGATATCCACTTCGTCATGCCTAGAGCTTATCTGTGCTGGTCGCTGAGGGAATACATCAACTTTCATCGTGGACAAAGCGGAGTCCAGCCCGGGGTCCATCACATGTGGTTGCCGCTCATTCGTCGCATCCGCCGGGCTCAGCCGGGGCTTTGGCTCACGCTAGCCCGGCCTCAGCGCATGCTAAGCCGGGGCTTCCCCTCACGCTAGGCCGCTGTGTTTTTCGTTGTGAAAGCCAAACTACTTTGTTTGGTCTTCCAAAAGAGGACACAACTACAAATCAGTGGTTAAGTTGTATTTACAACACTGTTCCAGAACAGTTTAACCCAAATATCCAGATGTGTGCAGCACATTTTATGGAGGACTGTTTACTGATCCTGGGAGAGTAACGTTAGACTACAATGCCGGCAGTTCTGACTCACGCAAGTACGTTTTCATTTAAAGGATTTGCCACTGATGATTCAAACGCAAGTTTTGGGCAGTGTAGAGTAGCACTTGTTGTTTGTCATTTCTCCGATCACAAATGCAGACAGAGTTTTATGTTTACGCGGCGCGGCGCGATGCAATGCAACACAACGCGTAAAAAGACAGTATAAGTCATTATAATCAGTAATTATGTCCCCACTGGATGCAACAAATGCCTCGTTTGTAATGGGTTTTAATGTTGTCTCGTCGCCCCTGGCCGGACACGGCATCAACAGTATGTGAGGGGCGTAACATTTCCGTCTCACGCTTGAGGTATTCGGCCAATCACAATGCATTGGATAGCTCGCTTTTTCAGACTGATGAGCTTTGTAAAAATCCACGCGTTTCAAAAAGGCGGGGCATAGAGGAGAAACAATAATGTACAGTATGTGGAAAATAATGTGTTTTTTTAACTTTAAACCGCATAAACACATTTCATTACACCAAATACACAAAATAATGTTCTTTTTAGCAACATCATATGACCCCTTTAATGCATCATTTTTCCTTCTGGAGCATCAGTGAGCTTTGAACCCTCCGTAATAGTTGCATATGAGTCCCTCAGTTGTTCTCAGTGTGAAAAGATGCATCTCAAAATCATAGTCATTGTTGGAAAGGGTTCAAATACACAAAAATGCAGGAAACCAAAGAATTTGTGGGACCTGAAGGATTTTTCAGAAAAACAGAGGGCAGTTTAGCTTTTCAAGACAAACAAGAGACTCATGAATAACTATCACTACACACAAAAAAAACAAAAACAGCTGTGGATCATTCAGGTAACAGCACAGTGTTAAGAATCAAGTGTACTGTATATGTAAACTTTTGAACGGGGTCATTTTTATAAATTCAGCTCTTATTATTATTATTATTTTTTTCTCTTGTGGACTATATGTAAACATCTTTTATGCGAAATATCTTATTCAGGTCAGTATTAACAAATAACATTCATTTTGTATAATCCCTCTTATTTTGGTAAAATAATTAACATTTTGCAGAGTGCTATGTAAACTCAAAAGGTGTATGTAAACTGTTTGACTTCAACTGTATATGAATCTAGAGTACACAATCCACTACCTATAACAATAACACATTATTTTCCTATTGGTGTGTACATCACTTAAGTTTGTTTGGTGGCTTTCGTATCAGCTAAGGTCAAAACTTGCTTTTTGTCCCTCTCTAGAGATGTAATGCAGATTGGTGGATGTACCAAACTAAATTAATACAAACTCATACAAATAATAGAAAATTGTTTACCATTAGTGTTTTAAGATTGAAAATGAGAGGACGATAAAAAAACCATCATACTCACTTTTGCTGAGAGATTAAATTTTTATTTACAAAATATCACATTTCATTCCAGATATTTATGCTAATAAGATTCAAATCCAAGGCACTTAAATGGTTTTTAAATTATTACTTGTACTAGATGATTAAAAAATTATTCAATGTCTTGATCAAAAAGGTTCGTTTATAATAATGAGGGATAATAACATATACAACTGCTTAAGATAAGTAAGATGTTAATGGACGCAACATGAGATACAGCATAATAAGAATAAGGTTTACAAACATTAAACACAGTCAAGTCATTCTGACTACACATAGACATCCAATGCCTTGACCTCTCTGAAGCAAAGTGCATAAAGCTACCCAGAAAACAAGAACATTCAGAGAAGCGATTTTCATTGGCTGAATTGAGATATGTAAAACGTTTTTAAACAAAAACTGCAAATTGAAAAATACAGTACAGGCTCTAAAACATTCCTCCTTTTCTCGAAACAGGAAAAAGTGACATGTCTTGGGTTTCATTAAGATCCTGCAGTGCAAGGCCAAACTTTTGATGCAGTACACTCAAATTCTGATCACAGTACTGACTGCATGTGGTACAGTGCAACTGTTACACTGCATGTCAAATTCAATGCAGTGATCTGAGGATACAGAAAATATCCATCATTCCTATCTAAATGACCTTGTTCAGGTGCTCTTGTTCCATTAAAAAAAAATGATAGTTCATTCTATAAGATGAAAATCAGTTTCTCTGTTTTGAAGTTTGGGGCATTGCCAATTTTCAGTAAATATTTAAGACAGGAAATTACCCTAAACATCTTACAATTTTATAATTTCCATAATGAAATGGTGTTTTGGGTAATGCAACAGTAATAAGAACACATTTTTGTTTGACCTTTTACAAATAACATAATTGTGGGCAAAAGCACAAAGACAGTGACCCATCAAACACAAAATAGAGACACTTGAAGATCTAAAAGTATTCCATAATTACATGTAACATCTTATGTAATCGAATCTAACAGTCTTAAATACACTTCATAATTCAAAAGATAGAACTTTCACTCATTACCTTCGCCGAATCAATGCCAGTTTATGACTATTTCAAGGGTACCTTCATTATGAATAATATTGCAAGTATTTGTATACAGCTGTGGCATTTTATCAGGCTTTAGAGAACCATAAATACCACTAGGATGATCTTTTGAGGAAGAGAAAAGTATGAAAACAGACAGCATTGCGTCTATAGGCTATTTAAAATCCTTCACTTCAAGGTTTCGAAGCTGTCATTATGGAAGCTACTCATTTTAAGGTGGTGTGATACCATAAGATATGAAGGTATATGAGCTAAATGTGCAAATAAAAGGTATGTGTGTGTGTTCCTGAAGTTATGACATGTGCTGGTGTGTGGACTTGGTTGCATATATCTGTAGGTGTATGTGAGAGTGCTTGTAACTGATAGAAATCCTATGGAGTGGGAGGTTTGGGTGCGGGTGCACTGGTCGGGATCACACCAGTAGCAAGGAATATGACAATCAGTACAATGATAAGGACTATCACAACAATAACCACAATCAGCTTCACGTTCTTCCACCAGTAAGCGCGAGCAACCTTCTGAGAGGTGTGCTTAAAGTTCTGGGCCTAAGAAGCAGGAAAAAAAAAAAAACAGTAAAATGTCAACTAGTGTGCGGCTAAAGCTACATACATTAGCCTATCAGTTAGAAGTGTGGGGAAAATAAGATTCAGCAAGGATACAGTAAAGGCAGTTTTTTAATGTTACAAAAGATTTCTATTTTAAACAAATGCTGTTTTTTTTAACTTTCCATTCATTATAAATTGAAACACAGCTAATAAGTAATGTTTCTTGAGCACCACATCAGCATATTGATGAATGATTTCTGAAGGATCATGTGACACTAAAGATTGGACTAGTGACTACCGGAAATTCAGCCTTGCTATTATTATTTACATTATAAAATATATTAAAATAGAAATCAGTTATGTTCAATTGGAAAATTATTTCACAATATTATTTTATCAAAAAATGCTGATTTTTTTCATGAATGAACAGAGGCAGAAAGAATATTTTTTTCAAAAATACAGAAAAATCTTACCATCCCTAAAATTATGAATGAGAATGTACAGGTGCATCTCAATAAATTAGAATGTCATGGAAAAGTTTTGTAATGTACAATTTATTGAGATGCACCTGTATGTTGTAAAAAGGTGTTCTGGGATTACAGCTGTAATATGTGATTAGAATCAAAATTTTTGTACTGAAAGAC